CTTGCCATTCCCGGTTAAGTTACAATGGCTGAGATCCTCAAAGAAACAAAAAAAACCCATTCACTCCCCAAATTGCAAGCACCACTGGGTCTACCAAAAATGGAGAAAAAGAGGTTGTAGTGCAGTAACTTTCGATGACTGAAGTTGCTCTACCGGCAGAGGATACCCTGTCAGTAGAAGAGACGACGCTGATATAAGACATCCCGCCGGTAGAAGAAGGGACGACAAGATTCAAAATTGAAAATGAAGAGGAGGACGCCAACACAAATTCCAGCGAGGAGGTGGAAGAAGAAGAAGAAGAAGAAGAAGAAGAAGAACATGTAATAATCTATATATTTGATGAAATTATTGGTTGTTGGTACAAATTTAGGATATTTGGTTGGTGTTTGTTGTTAAGGTCATTGTTGCATTTTGTTGGGCAGTTAAAGAGCATTAGAGGAATGGGTGTTTTGGGTTTCTAGAGGACCAGAGAAGCAAATGGAGGCCTTAGAGAGGTTGTTTATAGCAAGTTGGATGACTTTTGTTGGCAAAGAGAGCGGAATAGGGAGGTTGGGGGCTTGCCCTACATATTACAGGATTGTCCACGCATAGCCAGCCCTGCAGGGCTTGCCCTTAATCATCTCTCTTGTACATTATGCCAGCAAGAAACAAGAATCTGTCAAGCAAACAAGAGTAAATTTTCTTCCTCTTTATTTTAGTTATTTGTTAACATTTTTGGTTGATTGTGCAGGGCCATTGTAGAAGTACATAATTCAATTTTCCAAGTTAGATTATTGCATGTAATGCCAGCAAGAGACAAGAACCTGTCATGCAAACAAGAGTTAGTTGCATACTCCTTCCAAGCCTCATGGTTCATGTCTTTTTTTGTCTATTATGATAAGGAATTTGACATTGTTTTTTCTGTAGGTCTGGCGATTTGTCTATTAATGGTTCAAAAACTTTGAAGCAATGAAGGAAGGAAGAAAGGAAGGCATCTAAAGCTGTGGAGATACAAAAGCATGGAATAGATTTGGCTATGTTTTTTTAGCAGCAGAAAGTGTATTTAGTTAGAAAGGGTTGGCAGAATCCATTGAATCTTTAGAGTAGGGATTGAAAGTGTATTTAGTTAAGAAAAAATACAGGTTTTGGTAGGTTGTTATTTTGGTAACTGCTAGAACTGCTGGAACTATCATTTTCTAGATTTCTTTATTGTATTTGCTTCTTGTTAATCAATATAATTTCCTCAGTTTTTCTCTTAATTGATTGTTTGGTGAGTGAGGATCTTGGTTGACAAAACTTAAGGCTGCTGTTTTATCAGTTTTTCTCTTAATTTGTTGAAAACTTATTAGGGAATCAGAAAATAATTTTAATGGTTTTGATGAGTACTTTATGAGATTATCAAATTAGCCTTGGTCGCTTAAGTGATAAAAGCTATCGCTTAAGAGATCAAGGCTTATCTATATTGGATCGCTTAAGTGAGAGTTAACATCACTTATGCGATCGTGTACTTAAGGATTATATAGACACAAATTGGCCTTGGTCGCTTAAGCGATCAAGGCTTATATATGCTGGATCGCTTAAGCGAGAGTTGCATTGCTTAAGCGATCGTGTACTTGAGGATTATTTAGACACAAATTAGCCTTGGTTGCTTAAGCGATATGGGCTATCGCTTAAGCGATCAAGGTTTATCTATGTTGGATTGTTTAAGCAAGAGTTGACATCGCTTAGGTGATCATGTACTTGAGGATTATTTATACACAAATTAGCCTTGGTCGCTTAAGCGATGTGAGCTATCGCTTAAGCAATCAAGGCTTATATATGTTGGACCGCTTAAGCGAGAGTTGCATCGCTTAAACGATCGTGTACTTAACGATTACTGACAAAATTAGCCTTGGTCACTTAAACGATGTGGGCTATCGCTTAAGCGATCAATGCTTATCTATGCTGGATCGCTTAGGCAAGAGCTAACATCGCTTAAGCGATCGTGTACTTGAGGATTATTTTGACACAAATTAGCCTTGGTCGCTTAAGCGATGTGAGATATCGCTTAAGCGATCAAGGCTTATATATGCTGGATCACTTAAGCGATCGTGTACTTAAGGATTATTTAGACACAAATTAGCCTTGGTCGCTTAAGCGATTGTGGGCAATCGCTTAAGCGATCAAGGCTTATATATACTGGATCGCTTAAATGAGAGATGCATCGCTTAAGCAATCTTTTTTTTTTTTATATGGATTATTTGACAGCCCCATATTAAGTAATGTTAATGTTAATGTTAACTTGGGACATTCACAACATCACAAGATTCGGGAGAAAAGAAGCAAATTAGCCTTGATCGCTTAAGCGATATCGGTTATTAACACATATTAAGGCCATTTATGGAGGATTATTTGACAACCTAATTCCATCAACACATATTAAGACAATTTAAGAAGATTATTACCATTAATTTAAACCTCGGACATTCATAATATCAAAATATAACAGCTACGATATGTGACTAACAACCCTATGATACATGGAGAAATGTCATTGCACACTAGTGTGACACATTAGTAGAAACGTACCTCATTTCACAAATATGTGTTTGAGAAGGATATAATTTCTTACTCATTCCACATTACGAAATATAATTTCTCACTCAAACGTTCACAATATCAAAAGATTGAGGAGAAAAGAAGCAAATTGGCCTTGGTCGCTTAAGCGACGTAGGCTATCGTTTAAGCAATCACGACTTATCTATTCTGAATCGCTTAAGTGAGAGCTAACATCGCTTAAGCGATGGTTTATTTGAGAAGGATTATTCTAAGTACAAAAGCAAATTACCCTTGATCGCTTAAACGATGTCAGCTCTCGCTTAAGCGATCTTGTACAAATAAATCGTGATCGCTTAAGCAATAGCCTATGTCGCTTAAGTGACCAAGGCCAATTTTCATTGTACTTGACTATTCCTTCTCAAATTCAAGATCGCTTAAGCGATGTTAGTTCTTGCTTAAGCGATCTTGTACAGATAAGCCGTGATCGCTTAAGCGATAGCCGATGTCACTTAAGCGACCAAGGCCAATTTTCTTTGTAGTTGACTATTCCTTCTCAAATTCAAGATCGCTTAAGCGATGTCAGCTCTCGCTTAAACAATCCTATACAGATAAGCCATGATTGCTTAAGCGATAGCCAACGTCGCTTAAGTGACCAAGGCTAATTTTATTTGTACTTGACATTTCCTTCTCAAATTCAAGAGAATTCGCTTAAGCGATCATATATTGATAACATCTCAACATTAAATGAATTTATATGCACAATAACATCTCAATATTGAATTAATTCAGTAGCACAATAACAACTCAATACTGAATGAATTTAGTAGCACAATAAGAGCAACAATTAAGTAACTAGAAGCATCCTTACTATCATCTGTTCAAAACTTCAAACAAAAAGATATTCAATTGTCAACGTAAAAAATTGAAAACAACAAAGCATTCATAACAAGTCCATGAGATGAAAAGGTAATCTCATAAAGTACTAATAAAAATCATTAAAATTGTTTTATGATTTACTAATAAGTCTTCAATGGTTGGCCTTGGCAACTCTCTCGATTTCATCATTCTTCTTGATGGCATGGCTGGAAATACAAGGATATAAAATCAGTTTAATACACCACAGAAGATTGACATACAACTAAGAGAAACTAGTGAACAAGTAAACGAAACAACATCTAGCCACTCACCAAAATATTCAACACCCAAAACAACTTGTCCTATGTCTAATAATAGCCAAGTGTCTATAATGCAAGAAAAAAAAATTATTAACTGATATATTAAGGGTTGACAGATTTTAGAAAGCATCTGCAGAGTCGCTTAATCGATCTGCTGTATCGCTTACTGGATCGTTTAGACGATCTAGTATAAATAAGCTTGATCGCTTAAGCGAACTGCTGCCATATACCAGATCGCTTAAGCGATATACCAGATCACTTAAATGATCTGCTGCTATATATTAGACTTATACCAGATCGCTTAAGCGATCAATTAGCTCCAGAATACATTTTCAGTCATCTCCACCTATAATCGGTGCTACCACCCTCAGCTACCTACAATGAAAAAAAATCATCAACAAATCTCACTACTTTCAACTTGCATTACATCAAACACAACCCAAGAACCTAAACCACTAAATCGAAATCATAACCCAAATCCAATCCATTATTAAATCTTTGTAAATAGAAATATAAAATTCAAAAAGGAGATACACGTACCTGGACGAAATGTCAGGAGGAGGAAGATGCGGATCTTTGGCAGAGAAGATGTTAATGGCGGAGGAAGAAGAAGGTGTTAATGGTGGAGGAAGAAGAAGATCTTCAGTTTTGCTAAGAAGATACAACAACCAGGGGAGAGCAGTTCCGATGCATTAATGGTGGGAGGGAGGAGGAAAATGAATTTGTTTTGGGTTTGGATTTGTTTGCAACAATTTCGGGTTTTTGGGGACATAGTATAATTTTTAAAAGATTAGACAATACTTCATTAATCCTAATTAAAACATGATTAGTGCTTAATCATGTTTAATTACTCTTAATAAAAAATAAGGCTATTTAGTCAAGAGTTTGAAACTTGATAGCCTTTTAATTAAATTTAAACTCAATATGGTCTTTTAATCAAAAGCCCCAAATTTAACTCCCCGGACCTCCCAAGTTTGCATTTAAAAAAATGACCTTGAAAATATTTTTCAATTTTTTTAATTTAGAAAAGCTGACATGGCACACTTATGATTCATTAAACATGTAAAACGGGTTAAAGTGAAAGGATTTAAACAAATATGGGTAATACTATAATTAACGAATGTTTGTTTAAATTTTGAAAATTAAAAACAACCCTCACCATTCAAAATCGGTTAATCGAGCCAAATACCCAAAAAACGACCGACGAACACATTTGATTTCTCTGCCATTTTTGGAGACGAAAGTGCCCTATTTCAGCAAATATTCGATCCTAAAGCTTCCTTACACAAAATCATGGTTGATATTCAGAAAGAGGAGAAAAACTCAACCCCACTCCAAATCGTAGACTTCGGCGGCAGCAGCAGTTCAAAGGTTGTTGAAGAAGATGCTCCGATGGATCATCCGATGAGGGAAGGAGGTCCAGAGGCAGAGAAGATGACGACGACACAAGAACAGAGAGAAGAATCGAAAAACTGTTCTGAAAAGGAGAACGTTGGTGAAGAAATGGTACGTTTTTTACTTTTTTTTTGAATTGGATGAGAAAATTGATTGATTTGTGTGAATTTGAGGGACATGTAGTTGGTTTTATTATTATGGTGGTTATGACATTTTGTCGAGCAATTGGTGGGCATTGGTGGAGTGACTTTGTTTCCAGAGGATGATGGAAGGCAAAGGAGGTCGTATGAAGGTTGTTTGTGGGAGATTGATGGGCTAGGGATGGCAGGAGGTGGCGGGCAGGGCAGCCCTCCAACCCCCCTATTCCGCCACCTCCTGCCATCCTCAGCCTTCCAACTTCATGGAACCTACCACAATAGCCTCTGTAGGGCTTGCATTTGCTTCTCCGGTCCTCTCGAGGCCAAAAACACCCACTCCTCGATGCCCTTGAAGCCCATATCCCCCAAATTGGCAACCTATTAGCTGTTTTGGTTTTTTTTTTTTTTTTTTTTGTTGATATTTAGTTTATATCGATTGTCCAGATTTTCCGAAGCGTAAATTATAAAGACGATGGGTTGGAGGTTGTAAGCGATAAGGTATCGTACTTCCCCGTAAGGGTGACAATTAGGTCGAGTTGGCAAGTTTTTATGAGAATAATGGATATTTTACGGGAATTGAAGAAGGGTTTAGACCAATTCAAAGAGAGTTGTTTCGGTCATTTCGTGAACATCGAAGAAAATTGGAAAAAGGCGTTATGGGGGCAGGGAGTGCATTATATGTTGTTGCACTCAATTAAAAGCGAAAAAAAAAAAAAAAAGAAATGTGGTTCGTGGTGGATGGAAAGCCACTACGTTGTGGGATGATGGAATATCCCCTGATGATAGGCTTAAGATGTGGGGAATTTCTAGATGCGAGAGTAAGAGAGAGTAAAGAAAAGTAGGGTAGTCGATAACTTGGTTAAAAAGGTTTTGGGGGGGAGGGCATTTATTATGAGACGCAATTTAGAGGAGAGGTTAGAAGAAGGTGGGTATACCTCTTCAGAGAGGTTCAAGATGTGCCTAGTATGATTCGTGCATTTGATCCTAATGGCTTCTGACTCAACAAAAGCTATTAATATGGATTGGGAGAAGTTTACAAGCAACATGGACTTCTTTAACGCTTATTCGTGGGGACGGGTATCATTTTAGCTAACCATAGACTCCTTGCAAGGAAAAGACATGGCATTAAAGCAGCGCCAATCTGTCGAGAAGAATAGACCAAGCACGTACAATTTGTTTGGCTTCCCATGGGCAATGCAAGTAAATATTAATAGCTTTTTGTTATATTTTTTGTATTATATGTGTTTTAATTATGATATGGACTATTTTTTTACAATGTAGGCTTGGATGTATGAGGCCGTCCCTGTCCTGGCTAAGGCGGGGGGAGGATGAAGACTTTAGATGAGCGACTGTAATTTCCTAGGATGTTGTGGTGGCACATCAAGAAGTGTATCGACCCATTGGGATCATGACAAAATAGACGTGGAAATTCAAGCGGCTCGGGTAAGATTAAAGGATTAATTTTTTGAATATGCACTTGCTTTTAAATGTGGCCTAAATTTGATTGATTTTTTTTCTCATTGCATGGAGTCGTCCGTCCCTTCCTCACCGTTACTAGGGGTGAAGCGGGAGAGGAGTATGTTACATCATTCAAAGCATTGGAGGATGAAGCAGATGAAAGGATAGACTGCCTAATGCGGGACCTAGAAGAGGTCATGCATGTGAGTGCAGTTGCAAGGCCACTGCTTGAGAATGATGTTAACATCGAGGATGATGAAGCTCCAATCGGCGGGAGGGAGGAGGAGGAGGAGGAGGATGAAGAGGTTCGTACGCCTCCACCTAATTGGTAAACTGATACAACAAGTACCGCTTTACCAAGGCATCGAGAGAATGAGGTGGTTAACCTCATAAATGGTCTGTTTGAGAGTTTTACAACAGCCCTTTATGACAGGTTTGAGAAGATGGAAGAGTGGATGAAAAGGGTAGAGGAGAAAGTTGATAGGGTGGCAGAGAAAGTTGGTAGGGTGGAAGAGGAAGTTGATGGGGATATTGAAAGTGGTTAAAGTGAAACCTAAGCATGAAAGAGAGAGCCCAAAGAGTAAGCATGTAATTTCTCCTTACACGACAGTAACATATGGAAAGAAGAGAAAAACGAAGAAAAAAAATGAGGAAGTCCGTGAAAGTGGAAAAGCAAAAATGGAGGAGGAGGGTAAGGAAGAAGGCGGAGGAAGTGAAAATGGAGGAGGGTGAGGCGGGACGCAAAGGAAGTGGGGACGGCAAATGTAGGAAGGGGGAGGAAGTGGGAAAGCAAAAATGGAGGAGTTAAAGATCGATTTATATAGGTCAATAGAGGAGGAAAAGAAAAAACTTTTCTATGCCTATTACAATGAATCTGGAAGTGATGCCCATGTGAAGTGCAAGACGCCAAGACCGGGGATTATCCTTGGGAGTGGTTTGAAAAGATGTTGACGATGGGTAGGTGGCTTGACGACTCGATGAGTTATTTTCCCTTATTTTTTTCTTATTTTTGCTTATGTTTCCATGATGTATTGTATACTTATCATGTTGTTTTTATTTGATACAACGCATTGATGAGGTATTGGCACTCATGAAGCTACGATAGAGCAGTAATGGTGATATATTGTATCTCGATTGTTCCATCACTGATGTGGCCTTTGGCCAAACGCTAGTAACGACATATGACATTTTAATAAAAAAGGCCATTGGTAGAGGTGCAACAAGAGGAGGCAAGCGAAAAAAGATTAGCCATAGATGACTTTGACGACGTCCTTGATGATTTTCAGTTCGATGACATGATCATGCAGTATGTACAGGGGAAAAGGCCCAAACATAGCCACAGTTGGTCAAAGGTTAAAAGAGTATACTACGTCATCAACATCAAGGATATGCATATGATAACCGTCGTTGTGCTTCTAGAGGACGGCTTATTGCAGATCCTTGATTGCAACCCAAATATTTGTCAAGAGAGGCAATTAAAGACAAAGTTAGAGCCACTGTGCATATTGTTCTCGCAGCTATTGCATGACAGCGGGATGTTTCAGCACTTCGGTGATGAAGCATTAACGGGAAAAGGCCACTCAAGCGCCTTCCCATCCGGACAAATGACTCAAGGTAAATTTTGTATAAAACTTACATAATATAATTATTCTATAAGCTGATTCTAATGCTAATGTCTTTCTCCTATTGTAATGCTGATTGTGGGGCATATGCACTGAAATATATTGAGTTCGACATGACCAACACCCTGATGGACGACTTGAATGACAAAACAATAAGCAACTGTCGAGAGCACTGGGTTGTTGAGTGCTTCCATGGGCATATGGATCCCTTTTGACTGACTAGAACCCAATCCAAGTCATTGTTGATGCCGTCATCAAAAGGTATGGAAGTTGGACTTAGAATTTTGTAGTTTATGTGATGATGTCTTATTGGGTTGTCTTGAATAATTGGATTGTCTTGAATTGGATCACTTGGTGTTGTTAGGCGTCAGGCTGTTGATACTTGGGTTGTGGTGCTGATGCTGAAGGTGTGCTGAATAATTTTGGAGGATAGAGAAGTGGCTGAAGAGAATGATGAAGAGGGGGGGATGGAAGTTGTCGACCTGCTTTTGTTTTCGGTGTATATAGGAGATTTATTTGTTGTATATAATGTTGTAATTGAATGTAATTGACACCTTTCATATTAATACAAAAGCAATTCAGTATTTCTCTCCCTCTTTTGAGTTTGAGTTTATTTAGTATTCTTGTTATATGTCATTAATATGTTGATGCAATTAGGTTGTCAAATTCAGGAGAAAATATAGAATTAATATGTGTTGGTGATTTTAGTTTGTCAATATTCAGGAGAAAAGCTGGAAAAAATATGTATTGCCCATGATCGCTTAAGCGATACATAAGCGACTACATATATCGCTTAAGTGAGACAATAAATCGCTTAAGCAATCGTGCATCTGGACAGATGTTTATACTGTCATGGACTTGATCGCTTAAGCGATTTGGTATCGCTTAAGCTACCAAGGGTAAAAGCAAAGAATTGTTTAAGCGAGACCATAAATCGCATAAGCGATCGTGCATTTGGGCAGATCTTGATTCTGACTCGAACTTGATCACTTAAGCGACCAAAGGTAAAAGCGAAGAATCACTTAAGCGATAACATAAATCGCTTAGGTGATCGTACATCTAGGCAGATCTTGATTCTGCCTCGGAATTGATCGCTTAAGGGATTTGGTATTGCTTAAGCGACCAAGGGTAAAAACGAAGAATTACTTAAGCGAGACCATAAATCACTTAAGCGATCGTGTATCTGGGCAGATCTTGATTTTGCCTCGGACTTGATCGCTTAAGCGACCAAGGATAAAAGCGAAGAATCGCTTAAGTGAGATCATAAATCACTTAAGCGATCGTGCATCTGGACAGATCTTGATTCTGCCTTGGAATTGATCGCTTAAGCGATTTGGTATTACTTAAGCGACCAAGGGGAAAAGCGAAGAATCGCTTAAGCGAGACCGTAAATCACTTAAGCGATCGTGCATCTAGACAGACCTTGATTCTGCCTCGGACTTGATCCACTTGATCACTTAAGTGACCAAGGGTAAAAGCGAACAATCGCTTAAGCAAGAAAATAAATCGCTTAAGCGATCATGCATCTGGGCAGGTATTGATTTTGTCTTGTACATGATCACTTAGGCGATCATTGATCACTTAAGCAACAAAGGGTAAAAGTGAAGCATCGCTCAAGTGATCTTGAGTCTTGCTTGTACGTGATCGCTTAAGTGACGGTACCAGATCACTTAAGTGACTAAGTCTAAATACATAGGATCACTTAAGCGAGAAATGAAATCTCTTAAACGATCTAGTGTGTTCAGATTATTTTTATTGCCTTTCACAAGATCACTGTAATGCTTTCTTTCTAGCTAGTATACTCGTAAAATAATCACTAAAACTCATTAAAAATATATATAAGAAAATACACATATATATGAGTAATAAAGTATGGACCCATGTTTAATTTTCTTTATATACAAATATACTCAAAATATACTCAAAATGGCATCTTGATAGTGTAGCCCAATCCTTTCCACTGCTTGACATTCCGAGTGACCGTAACTCATCTATTACCTACAAAAATAATAAAAACAACGGAGTGAGCACTAATGGCTCAGTAAGTAAACCCACCATGCTACCATTCTCTCCCCGTTGCTTAAATTATGAATTTTCTTTCCTTACATCACATTTCCCAATTATTCTCTATTCTTTCTCATTATTTCTCTGTTTTGCTCTCTGTTTTCTAATTTTTTTCACTACCTATGATAATGAGCATGGTATATTGGTATTATGCATATTCATGATGCAAATGCACAAATGCATAAATTATGCATTTTCTTTTCTATTTTTCTTATTCTGTTTTCTGTTTTCTGTTTCTTTATTTCTTTGTTTCTTTTCTACTCTTTCTTTATATTCTTTCTTTCTTTTCTATTCTTTCTTTCTTTCTTTCTTTCTATTCTTTCTTTTCTTGCCGATCGGACTCGATTGAGGCATGGATTTGGAGCCTTAGTCGTGTGAGTGAATTCTCTAATTATGGGTACAGTCCTCATCCACACGCACTTTTAACAGACTGTACAATTATTCTTTCCGAATTCTGAGGCCGCTCACTAAAGGCAACGTGCATGGGGACTATGTCACTCATGGCTCCCCATCACAACAACCTTTTCTTCTTTTTATCTTTTTACACTACTTTAGGTAAAAAATTCATATTTGAATATCTTGAATATTCTCATTTTTTTCTATTTTCTCTTTAACATATTTTAGGGCTTTTTCATGCTCTTATGAATGTATATGCATGTAGATGGTTTCATGCTTATAATTCGTTCTAAATGCAAATGTTTAAATGCAAGGATGCCATGTAGCATAAAAATAAGTTTCTCTCTACCATCTACAAACTCATATCAATTCATAAATGAATAAAACTCATGCATACACTGCTCTTGGACATTTCATCAAACATATTGCATGCATAATCAAACTCTAATTTGACTACAATTCTATCTCTTTCTCAAGCCACCAATATTTGGAGTAAAACTCCCTTAAACAATTACCAAACCTGTCCAAAACAATACACTCCCAAAAATTCTACTCAACTCTTTCCAACTTCAACCAAACCACTTCTCATGGCTAAATTCTATTAATCAATAATCATCAAACTCATCAATAATTCATCAATTTCATCAACAATTTTCAAAATCATAAACATATACATATATGTAAAATCTCTACACACTTGATTTCTCAAATTATAACTTGGGTGGGATTTACTTACCTTGTGCTTGAGTAATTCCACTAGAATCTCTCTTTCTTTTGGTAGACTTGTTCTTTCTCTAAAACCCTAAGCACAAACACTATAAGAATTCAACACTTTAAAAATTAATCTCACATCTATTGCAAGAATTTTTACCTTTGGGTGCTTAAGATCAAATCTCTACCAAAATCCAACCAAAAGCCCTCTAAAATCCCTTGGAAATTTGATGAAGAGATGATAGAAATTGAGAGTGAGGTGGCATGAGAGGGAATAGAGAATGATAGGGTCTTTTTGCTTGAACTCTTAATATTTCATATTAATATGCATACTTTCCCATTTTGCCTTTGCACTTTCTTTAAAATTCCATCTATGTCCCTTAGTCAATTACCATAATGCCCTAATTTTTAATACATTCTCCATGAAATTCTACCTCTTTTCACTCCCCACTTTTTTTAACTAATTTTGAGTGAAAAGACCATTTTACCCTTAATGCAAGTTTAAGGTATTTTCTTCACATTTTCTCAAAATAACTTTAGCAAAAAAATCAACTAAAGCTATAAGAGCATAAATTAAATTACGTACCTCCATGTGGGCATTACAATCGCTTAAGCGATGAAAGCTTATCAACACTGGATCACTTAAGTGATGACAGGATCGCTTAAGCGATTCCTTTTTTTTTTTTTTTTTTTGGAATAGGTTGTCCCATATTGAGTGACGTCAATGTGAACTTCGGATGTTCACAATATCA